ACACAGACCGTCGCTCAAACCATACCTTCGACAATAGCTCCGAACATACCTCCTACAAAAATATTTTATCAAAAAAAAATTAAAAATTTAATAGAAGATAATTTCGAAAAAATTATTGTAGCAAAATCAATTGTATTTTTTTATATTAGTTTTTTAAATTTAATTTAAAAAAATTAAATTATTTATGTTCTTTAACTTTAACTTTAAACTGTTTTTTATTTATTTTTTATGCAAACGCGTTTTTTAATATTGCCTTTTTTACCTGCCTTTTTTTTAAATCTAGGTGCCTAAACATCAGGCCTCTATTTTTTAGTTAAAACCTTAAATTAAAAACGGTTTAATTGGGAGGTTAAGTTGGCGCAAACTTTTATTTTTTTTCTATTATAATGGAAAACATAAAATAAACAATAAATTAAAAATTTAAAAAAAAACCAACAAGCTTTACATATTCGGTTGTTTAAGGTAGTTGTCGTGGTACAATATTGTCAAAAATTTTTAGATTATACGCACCGTAAAAGTATACGAGCTGGTAGCTAAGTGATTCATAATTTGTTCGCAAGACTGTACCCTGGAGACGTTATTTTTACGTAATACTTTCAAATATTTTCATAAGTTTTAATCCGGCAACGTCGCTTATGCTCAACCAATAGATATATTGGAGACTGAATCAGACGTTTGAATTTACTGCGGAAATTATATCTATACTCGCGTACAGCCTTGCCAAGTTGTTTTTATCTGACACTAGTGATGTATACTTTTTACAAATTGTTGAACTTTAAACGGTTATTTATAAACAATTGGACGGTCAAAAATTTTTAATTATTTTTTTTTAAACTCAGCAAAATTACATTAAAACAATGTTAGTTTTTTGAAAGCTTCTGACAGTTAGTTTTTTCTGTATAACTAAGAAACTGGTACAGAACTACAGAAAGCCTATACAATCCATGTTAATTATCCAATTTTTAATTGAATTTATCTCGGGTTATAGACGGTCAATCGACTTCAAATTTTAAGGATATATGTATTGTCATGTCCTTAATAAGTATACAAAAATTCAAAATTTTCTGATGGTATTCTTATAGCACGACAACTACCTTAAGTGTCATAAATTATATAACGTTGAACATAAGGGTCTCCTCATACATCTATTATTTCGAATTCTTTTATCCCCCTTTAGTCGGATTTTTGGTATGTAACTTTTTAAAAGATTTACTTTTTGGAGCGCCCAAAAGTTTAAAAATATTGTGCACAAGATTCATTAAAATCGGCCAATCATTTAAGAAACTTTAATAATGAGTTCATTATTCCCGTTGTTAAATAGGAAATTTATAATGTTTGTCATTATTCACGAAAAAACCTTTATATGAAATACTAACAATACTATAATTTTTTAAAAGGGGAAAATGAACAGTTTATTAAAAAAATATTGCCACGCTTTTAGGAGAAATATCAATTTAGTTTTCCAGGAGACTAAACAGTTTACCGGAAAAGAATTCCCTCTAATTTCATTGGAATTCAAGCTTTAAAAAATCCATCATAAAACCTTGCCATTCTTTTATGGTAAAATACTGTTTCAGCTAAACGTCGATAAAAACTTTTACCTTTTGTTTATTTTTGTGAAATTATTAAGTTAGTGTGAAGATAACCCTTTAAAAATTAACAATTGTTGTTAAACTAAAATAATAGTATATTTTATCACATTAATATTAAATATCTTTAATGTAAACGTATACGTATGTATACGTATATCTAATGTATAAATATATAACGTATATGTATATCTTTAATGTAAACGTATACGTATACGTATATACCGTACCTTCATTTGCAAGCTAACCATAGGGAAAATACATTGTAACTGGACCAGATAAGTCTTAGTCAGCACGAAGCGAAAAACGTTGTAGAAATGATTTGGACGTGTGGATGAGTAGGCTAGCATGCGCCGTAACAGTTGACCTTGCTTCATACATCGATGCTTTATTATTGTTTTTATTTTGTGCGGTGTAAATCTGGTAAAATTTGTTTTAGTACGCATGTCTCGATATATATTAGGGTGGGCCAAAAAAAACTTTTAATTTTCTTTTCTTTAGGTACCATAAAAATATCGTCCAAGATGACGAAAAAAAAATTCTGATAAAGTTTCAGCTCTTAATATCAATATTAAGAGGTGGCTCATCGCGATTTTTTATTTTCCATTTAAATAACACGGGAAAAATACATTTTTTTGTTTGGAATTTTATTGCGTTTTAACGAATCAGTGAGTTGTAGAAATCAATACATATTCTTGTAGGGAATTAAACGATCTACAAAAAAGATCTCATATGATTTTTTGCATAGTCGACTCTTTTAAAAGTTATTTGAGGTTAAAGTTCAACTTCAAATAGTAAATGATGACTTTTATAGTTTTTCATACTCTATCACGAAATATTGTCTCAAAAACATGAAATATTATATTTTTCGTGAAGTTTATCGAGTGTTCTTCGGTAAAACAATACAATTTTTACGAAATATCAATAACCGTGAAAAAAACGTTTTTTTCCTATATTTAATTTTTTTTTTAATTCAAAATTTTTTCTTTACCTGAGACAAAAAAATTAATCATATATTATATCACGAGAACTATGAATTTAATCGGTTAAACTAGGCTCAGTAGTTTTTTGTTTGGTTTTTCTTGGAAAATGTTGAATGCAAAATAATTTAATAAAATCAGGAGACCGCGTAGCGGTCGAGGGGTTTTATTTTTAATTATTTTGAATGAAACTATTTTCCAAAAAGAAAAATCAAATAAAAAACTTACTGAGCATAGTTTTACAGATTAAATTTATAGGTTAAGTGATATACGTCTAGATTAATTCCATTAATTTAAGGTATGTAATAAGTAATAATTGATATTTCGTAAACTAGATAACTTATTTTTTATTGTTTTTTAAAAAATGTTTTTTAAAACTTGTAAATAACACCATAAAATCGTAAACAAAAATCCAATATGGAGGCTAAAATTTAATCGCTGTTAAATAGTTTTAGTGATTTAATCGCTTATTTAAACGTGTGTACAGTTGACTTAGGTAATGTAGAGTAATAAAAGTCATGCTTCAATAATTTTTCAATTAAAATAAAAAATGTTTATTTTAATTGATAAATTATTGAAACATGGCTTTTATTACCTAATAGTCAAGTGTAAATAGAATATTTATTATTTTTTGAAAAAATGATTAATTTTTTTTGTCATTACTTATGTAAAAAAAAATCGATTTTTTTTTAAATCAAGTATAAAAAAAAACTTTTTTTCACGATTATTGATATTTCGTAAAAATTATATTGTTTTACCGATGGACACTCGATAAATTTCACAAAAATATGATTTTTCATATTTTTGAGCCAATATTTCGTAATAGAGTATGAAAAACTATAAAAGTCTTCATTTACTTTTTGAGGTTGAACTTTAACCTCAAATAACTTTTAAACGAGTTGACTAAGCAAAAAATAATATCAGATCTTTTTTGTAGATCGTTCAATTCCCTACCAGAATATGTATTGATTTCTACAACTCACTGATTCGTTAAAACGCAATAAAATTACAAACAAAAAAATGTTTTTCCCCGTGTTATTTAAATGGAAAATAAAAAATCGCGATGAGCCACCTCTTAATATTAATATTAAGAGCTCAAACTTTATCAGAATTTTTTTTGTCATCTTGGACGATATTTTCATGGTACCTAAAGAAAAGAAAATTAAAAGTTTTTTTTGGCCCACCCTAATATACATATATATATATATATATATATATAGGGGGCCGATTAAAACAATTAGCCGCCTCTCCTTCACCTCCTTTTATTAATCTAATTTTTTTGGTTTGGGATTCCGATTTTAGGATTATTCAAAAACTTTTTAAAACTCATTCCGAAGCCCGAAAAATATAAAATAATCATAATCATATTATTTATATTTTATAGGGATCTCTTTGGTTTCAAATTTTTTAACAAAATTGCTAAAATAAACATAAAACAGATACATACAAATATATGCATTTTTTTAAATTACATTTTTTAAATTAAAAAAAAAAATTATTAATATAATATCAAGAGCCAATATAAAAAAATTACAAAACAGTATTGATTTTTTTGTAAAACTTTATCCATTTTCCTGGTCCAAAACCCAGTTATTTCTTTAATTCACAGTGTTACTAAAGTATTTTTATACCCTTTATATTAACAATTAGTTAACTATATTTGCTCCAATAAGAATTGGCTGGATCTCGAATTTTGGTTGTGATTTTAAATAATTTTTGATGAGCTTTATCACAACTGCAGTTCGTGGCAGTCATGCAGAAAAACATTCTGTATGCAATGTTAACATGGGGAAACATTGTATTAAGATCATTTTTTAGTTTTTAATTGGCGTGACCCGCTTCGAATTTTGTTGATCATAATCAAAATTAACTTTGAAATGGATTAAACTTTTCATGTAAAATTTTCCAGAGTTCCCAGGAAAAATTTATCCAAATTTTCCAAATAAATAAGAGCAGAGAATTTTTCGTAAATAAGACATTTGTAAATAAGACAATTTGTAAAAGATTACATAGACTCTAAAGTTTTTTTTTCGAGCAATGTTACCTTCCTGTTCTTGTTTCATCGTCATAGATTTTGCTATGTTTCACATTGCAAAGAAATGTTTTTTAGGTACTCCTAAAAGTTAATTTCTAGTGGTTTAAAAATTTATCTGTCTCTTACGTCAAGTAGCGTTATATCCAGTGTAAACAAAAGGTGAACGTTTAGTTAAAATTTAATAAACTGAACAATTCAATTAAAATGAAGGTTTAAAATAGAAGCCTTGTTAAAAGTTTAAATCCAAGATAAACCCAATTTAAAACTTTTAGTTTGTCTATTATTTGGCTTTTACAGAATCATTTAACTTTTTTTGGCTTATTTATTTAAAAAATATTTTTTAAATATTTTGATTTAAATTATAACATTTTCTAATGTCGATTTTTATTGTTATAGATGTGTATATGATGGAGTGGTTTACACAATGGCTTCTAATTCTCCTGACTATACAATTTTCAAATACACTTCCAGACGAGATTCCAATAGGTAAGTAGATGAATATATTTCTATAGGAAGTCCAAAAAATACCCATAGAAGTATACACATAGAAGGATACATAGTGCCCACTGTAGATTATAGAAATAAAAATGTAAATAACTCATACCCTGAAAAATAATACCGTAAGATCGCATATTTTACTTATTTTTCGTAATATGTAATAATAATAATAATAATAATAAAGTTTATTTTTTTTCATAAATAAAGTACATTTAAAAATTTGTTGTACAAGTATACTTAAATATTATGAAAAAAAAACCACAAGATTGTGCTCAAGAAGATATAAGTATTATACCCCTCGGTTTTCAGCACAAACCCTGACTACACAAATTATATTCATGTTGTGTTATGCCTATCTAATTAAATTAAATTGTTACATAAATTACAATAAGAAAAGAGAAAAAAAAAAGTCATTGATCTTAGTGTCTGTACTGGATATGGAATCGGCTAATTTTCCCAGAAATGTTTAAAGCAGGGCGTGAAGTAATGTTTCTGAATAAAAAATTGAATTTTATAAAAAAGGATTCCTTGCTAAAAAATAATTATAAAGCATTCAATATTTGAATTTTTATTAAGAAATTAGCGCATAATGCTTTTACCATTTTACCGCATAATGGCGTCATGAAAAAGTTTGTCAACCACTGGATTAAAGGGTACATATCATACAGTGAAAAAAATAAGCTGTTGAAACAACAACAAAAATATTAATTCAACTCTTTATGCACTTTAAATACAAGCAATGGTTTTTGCACGTTTACTTAACCATCTAAAAATGTCAAATTGTATTGTTTAATTGAACAACAAATAACAGTCAAATGAACAAAATGAGAATATTTGTTTTAATCTGCTAATTTGGTTAATTTAACATTCTTAGGGTATTAAGGTAAATTTCTTGAAATATCCAGGTAACCTTTTTAGCATATTCACTTAACACCAATAAAATGTTAAATTAAAATAATTTGCGGCAATGTTCCAAAACGGTTGGGTTAACATTCTGAAAATGTAAAAGTAAAATTCTATATAAAGAGAAAGAATTGAACCCTCACCTGGCCAGAGTTTTTGTTTTGAGTGCGTTCCACCTACTATAAATACCGACAGACTGCTGTTTCGACCTATAATGGGGGTCTTATCAGTGTCGGGCAATTTAGTGTAGTGGAAGTTCCACCGTGGAAAACACCCAAAACAAACGGCTACCTGAGCTTATATACCTTATATCGTAAGCCAACTGTGGCGAGATGTAAGAACAGGTGATCAACACCGTCTAATGACGTGGCGTGGGTGTTCGAAGCGCCCTTCACGGCAATTTTATGAATGCAAAATTAACATTTTAAAGTAACTTTTACAATTTGTTAAATGAACAAATTTAATGTTTTGGATTAAAGAGGAACTAAACGTTAATTTAATAGTTTTTTTAGATAATCCTAAAAATTTCAGTATTTGATTGAATCAAATTGATTCAACCAATTCCAGCTATCAAATCAAAATAGGATAAACATTTTTTTTAATTCAAAAAATTAGTTTATGTTAAATCAATATTTTAACTGTCAATTGAACAAATAAACTTTGGCAAACTATGACTATTGCTTTGACACCAAAATATAGATTAATCCAATAGGTTTTTTGATAAAACAACATTTTCAAAAACGACATTCAGGTAAACGTTAACTCAACTACATTATTTTTTTCGGTGTAGATGAAAAAAATACAAAATTGCTGTTTATTAGAAAAATCTTTTCTTAATATAAACGTGTGAGGTACAATATACAAATCTGAAATTTACAGAAACCTAAAACTGGCTTTGCCGATTCGATATAAAATTTAGGATATTTAAACAATTATTAGCATATGTATAATTGTACTGTCAAAACAACATACTTAAATAAATATTCTATAAACATAATCAAATTTTTATATAAAACAATAATACCCCTAGAGCGGGCGCGTCCTATAATATTTCATGAGTGGGCGCGTGGTGCTAATATGCTACCAGCTGTAAATTATAGTTTTAAAACAGCCTTAATATTGTTTTAGCAGTAAATACTATAAATAAAGTCTAAATAATTAATTTTATATGTTTATTAAACATTTAAATATTATAGGTATCTATTAAACATTTATATATATATATATATATATATATATTTTACAAAAATAAAAAAGTTAGTCAACTTCATCATTTTGAACTAAATATGTTTTTCTTTTGTAACACAAAATTGTACTTTCACTATGCTCTTCACAAACGAAATTATCACATTTGTCACAAAATACTATTTTGTGACCAATGTGATTTTGAAAATAGTGACGTAAATTTATATGTCTGTCGTCCACATATAGTACAACGTCCCCGCTTTTTTCTTCGTTCACCTTGTTTTTTTATTACTTCTACAGGTTTGTAACGCTTTAGAAATAATTAAATATGTAAAGGTAAATCCGAATTTTAGACCTTTTGCCCTAAAATAAAGTAAATAGAATAAAATACCTACACATTTTTGGTAAGCTAATAATAATAATAATTACAGTTATAATAGTAATAATATATTATTATATTTATACATGTATTAGGAATACCAATAATAATAATAATAATATTATTATTATTATTCAGAAACTCGTAAATGATATTTTTTTAGCAATATTAAACTAGTACCAACAGAAAAAAATAGCACAATTAAAAAAGAATCAACTAAAAATATACTTACATCATTAGGCGCGTGGTAGCAAAATTGCTCCAATTAAATTTAAACCGCCGTAGACAAACACACTAATAAAATTTAAACCAAAAAAACTTAATTAACCCTTCGTCATCAATATCTAGGAAGATACTAAGCGATATAAAACAAATAAAACACTTGTTCATGCCCCACGCCCTTATTAAGTATTATTGGTAGCACATTTGCACCAACGCGCCCGCTCGAGGGATACGTTAGTAATTTTAAATTTAGCATGAATAGGTTAACATTTAATTTTAAGCTGTTTTTTATACCAATAACTTTATAATAAGAATAAAATTATAATATTTTTTTATAAAAAACGAATGCATTGCCTGTGGGGATGTAAAAATAATAAAAATAATGTCTTTCTCGTTCGATTTCTGCAGTGGTGGATGTAAAATACTTTTAAGCTTCAGGATGGTTTTTAAGTACTTAAAATATTTATTTCATTTTCTTTCTTAAATTAATATAAAAAAATCATGTTTGGATATAACTATGTATTTATCGATGGTTTAAAAGGTTCTACAATTAATTAAGAAATCCTCACTTGACAGTTCTACTTTGCAATCAGAAATGAACATAATATTCATAGAAAAACCTGTGATATCATCTAAGGCCTGTCAGAGCAAAGTTAACAATCTCCCGTCAGACTAAAACTGAGTAAATTGAGATAATTGATTTTGCTATTTTAAATTCCAGATTTGTAATTTTTTTTATATATTGTATCGAAATATTGTGGTTGTTAGTTTGTGAGAATTTAACCTTATAATAGTAGGTATTCCTGAAAGTTTTTACAGATTTTTAGGTATTATAATTTTAGAGTTTCAGCTAGATGATTTATTTAAATTTAAGAAAATCATTTAGCTGAACATAATTATTATAATAGCTGAACATCTGTAAAAATTCTATGAAAAGCTACTATTATAAGGTTAAATATAAGGTAAATTCAAAAGCCACGTTATCCAGATAGGAAACTTACATTCCATTGCACTTGAAACTTAGAGAACATATTTTTTATTTATTTCGAAACCTATAACCCAGTGGGTTTTTTAAGAACCAACTTTTTTAAATTCGGAAATATTAAACGTATATTTTAAGATGGCAACGTTTATAAGAATATTTAATACTTTATTATAATCTTTCATGTGTGAAAAAATATGGCAATATGATCTCGCAGCGTAGAAAAAAAATTGAAACTTGACAGAACAGAACCATATAATAGCAGCTTTTCATAATTTTTTAACAGATTTTCAGCTATTATAATAATTATGTTCAGCTAAATGATTTTCTTAAATTTAAAAAATTATCTAGCTAAACCTCTAAAATAATAATAGATAAAAATCTGTAATAATTCTTAGGAATAGCTACTATTACAAGGTTAAATTCTAACTAATTTTTGAACAGTTACTTTGGCCGGAATAAATAATTAATAATTCAATGCCGAAAACCCTGTTATTTATATAGTAAACTTACACTGCAACGCGGCACGGGTTAATATTGAAATAGGGACTTAAAACTTGAAAAATATTTTTTTTAAATTATCACTATGAGCCCCTGAGAGCAAAAAAAAATTAAAAAATTCTCAAAATATGAACCACCCTAATGCATAGTATAGGTGAAATCTATAATTATAAATTGAAGATTGCTGACTTTGATATGAATTGCTGGAGATTGCTCATTTTGCTGTAAACGTTTAAGGATATTTTCACTTTAGTTACAATCTTGCAGAATTTAGAAAAATAAAGAAAAAATTATTGTATTTTTATTCCTTTAATGGTTATAAAATTTAACTATACAATCAATGTGGGAAAATTCTGAACTGGACCACATAAATCTGGAGTTTCTTCTAAATCTAGGACCAGGTTGCCTCTTTTATAGTACAACTCATCATCTTCTTCCTACTTTGCCCCGTAATATTTTACTAGCAAAATTTTGACATAATCAGCCTTTTTTTGCTTTACCTTTACGTCTTATTTTGGAATAATAGCACAAAATGAACCAGATAACTTTTTTTATAATTCTTAAAACAATGAAACGTAGATATACCTATTTTAAATATATTTTTTAAGTGCAATTCATTGCAATAAAACTTAACGGTAGGTACCAGTAAAAAAACACAAAATTAAAGCTTTAAAATACGTTATAACGTCAAATGTCAGGATATCAGGTGACACAAATTCCTTATTTCTTATGGTGGAATTGGAGATTGTATTTGATGCAAATCTATCAGTAGAGATTGTCGATTTTCCACTACATGTCATTTTTAAAATAGGATTTTATGCAGGATTTAGCTCCTTTTGCAGCACATATCATCTTATAGATAACACTGTAGGTAAATTTTTAACTTTTAAAATATCACAGCTAAACGCTCGGACACGTAAACATAATTTTTGGTCGTAGATTCCAAATCCGTGCTCGGTTTAGCTGTATCAGGTCTAAAAAAGTTTTTTCTATTGGAAATCCGATCCAGGGACACACTTTATACTGGTATATTATAATTTGTAAAATAATATAATTCACCTCTTGTGCCAACAGTTTTATGCTTTTTATTTCATTTAATATAATATCCTCAATTATACTCAATAAAAAAAGCAGCAAAAAACCATTTCAAATTTCCTTAATTATCTAAGAAAAAAAAATTATACAGGGTGTTTAAACTTATACATGGTGTTTCCAATATCTTTGAATTTTGACCTGATACAGCTAAACCAAGCACGGATTTGTAATCTACGACCAAAAATTAAGTTTACGTGTCCGAGCGTTTACACTGAAAAAAATAAGCAGTTGAAACAACAAAAAAAATATTAATTCAACTCTTTATGCACTTTAAATACAAGCAATGGTTTTTGCACGTTTACTTAACCATCTAAAAATGTCAAATTGTATTGTTTAATTGAACAACAAATAACAGTCAAATGAACAAAATAAGAATATTTGTTCTAATCTGCTAATTTGGTTAATTTAACATTCTTAGGGTGTTAAGGTAAATTTCTTGAAATGTCCAGGTAACCTTTTTAGCATATTCACTTAACACCAATAAAATGTTAAATTAACATTCTGAAAATGTAAAATTCTTTAAAGGTTGGTATCCAAAACAAAATTATGGAAATAATATATTATTATATATAAATAGAAAGAATTGAACCTTCACCTCGCCCATGGGCAGAGTTTTTGTTTTGAGCGTGTTCCACCCATGATACATCTTTGTATCATGTGTTCCACCTACTTCAAATACCGACAGACTGTTTCGCCCTGTATTGAGGGTCTTAACAGTGTCGGGCAATATGGTGTAGTGAAAGTTCTACTGTGGAACACACCTTAAACAAACAGATATCTCATCTTATACAGGGTGTCCCAAACGTCAACGATATCCTTTGAAGGACTAATAGGTCAGCTCATGAATAATCAGAATATCAATACATGACCTTGGTAAAAAATCATTAGTTTTTAAGATATTGGCATTTTTATGAGTTTTGTGAAACGTGACACATAAAATCAGTTTTTAAAATGCCACAGCCACAACATTCTATATTCTTAGATTATATTTTATTTTGCGTAACCCTGAATAGGACTGCTATTAATTACAATTTAAAATTAAATTAATGGTAGATTTTGTGTCTTTGGCAGGTGTCAGGTTTTACAAAAGTCATAAAAATGAGTATATCTCAAAAAGTAACGATTTTTTTACTAAGGTCATATTTTGATTTTCTGCTTAGTCGTGAGTTGGTCTATCAGTCCTTCAAAGGATATCGTTGACTTTTGGGACACCCTGTATACACCTAATCGTAAGCTAACTAAGGCGAGATGTAAGAAAACGTCATTGTCTAATGACGTGGCGTGAGTGTTCGAAGCGCCATTCTCGGCAATTTTATGAATGCAAATTTTACATTTTAAATTTTAAAGTAACATTTTAAATTTGTTAAATGAACAAATTTAAAGTTTTGGATTAAAGAGCAACTAAACGTTAATTTAATAGTTTTTTTAGGTAATCCTAAAAATTTCAGTAGTTGATTCAACAAATTCCAGCTATTAAATCAAAGTACGATAAACATTTTAATTCAAAATATTAGTTTATGTTAAATTAATATTTAAACTGTCAAATGAACAAATAAACTTTGACAAACTCTGACTTTTGCTTTAACACCAAAATATAGATTAATCCAATAGGTTTTTTGTCGAAACAACATTTTTAAAAATGACATTTAGGCAAATGTTAACTCAACTACATTATTTTTTTCGGTGTAGCTGTGATATTTTCACCTCCCTATTAGTTGAAGTACAGTCTCCGCCAAAAATCTAATTTTTGACCAAAAGTGAAGATTGTCGGTTTTGGCAACTAATGTTTTTATATTATACTAATAAGTAACATTTTTTAGGTGGATTGTTTCACCCAGCGGACGATAAACAGGAGATAGCGTTTAGATATGCTGTGGAAAAAATAAATAGCGACAGAGCGATTCTTCCTAGATCAAAATTAAGTGCCCAAATAGAAAAAATACCACCGCAAGATAGTTTCCACGCTTCGAAAAAAGGTATTACAAAACTAAATAATATATAAAAAACTTATTATTTGCATGAGGTTGTTTGTATGTAATGTGGTTTATAAACCATCATAATTAGATAACCTATAAATAGACATAAATTAAAATGTATAATATGAAACTACAGAGAGAATCTTTGGTTTTGCGGTGTCTGTGTCAGAATACTGCTGATTTATGTTTTAATTCTAAATTTAATTAAACAACTGCAAATGCATTATATTAACACAAAATAGTTTAAAACCCTCATTTTCATTTAATGTATGATTTATTCATACACAGTAACTTCTCTCTTAAAATGAATTAGTCAAAAATAACTAATTATAAGTCATATTTGACTAATTGTTATAGCGAAAAAGCAGTCACTAATAATTATTCAAAGTCTACTTAATGAAATAGTCAAATTAGTAGATTTAAATTTAAAAAAACTTTTGACCCAGCCGGGGATTGAACTCAGGTCTGTCACTTGTCAAGCTGTTGTCATAACCCATTTGGCCATCAGCCGCTCTTATAAAGATCAATTTTATTTGTCAATAAATATTGTTCATAATATTTTAAAGTTAAATATATTATTTGTGTTGCTGATTTGAGCTAAACTTTTTGCATCTTTATTTGTTTTCATGGGTCATTTAATTCAAATAATACTTTGTTGTTGGCCGCAAACGATTAAAGAAATTACTTTTAACTCTCAGAAATAGTCAAAGATGGTGACTAATCTTTAATTTGTCAAAATTTAACTGTTTACGTAGTAAAACATAACTCTTTAAAAGTGAAAACGACTATTTTATTAGTAAAAAATCCTGGTACTAATTCAAATAGTAGAATTTTGACTATATCATTTTTAGACAGTTTAGATATTAATATTACTTCATAAGTAAACTTAAATAAATATTGAAAAAAATCTGATATAAAAGTAGACGTACGTAAGTAAGCTAGATCAGCAGACCGAAGTTTAATAAATCATTGACCTTCCCGAGAGTTCCCGGTTCCTGGTTAGGGAATATGCGCCTTTGCCAAGAAACCATCATAATATCTAATGTTTTATGGCCAGGAATGGTGCGGATATGCAATGTGCCACCGACGTTTTCTATTGAAATTAAAAGAAAAAACAACTACAAATGCTAAGCCATTTTCCATATTTTTAATATATTAGTATACTATAGCATACTAAACGGGTTTTCATCAACAGCAATATTTTTTAAGTAATATTAATAGAAACAAACATTATTATGTGTATAAAGGGTGGCTCAATAAGTATTGGTGCTACTATTATAATTTGAGTAAAGTGGGAGATATAAAAATGGCATGCATTATTATGTAGTTTGATGGATCCAGGCATTACCATGGTAAAATATAAAATTAAAATTTACCACCACGATTACAATTTTTTGTAATAATCACTAATTTTGAAAAAGTGGTGAGGTGTGGCTACAAATACTAAGCCCAATATCAAGAATGTTAAAAGCCTCGTGGTTATTTGAAATCGGTATTTTAAAAAAACATTTCTTGTAATAGTTTCCCATGAATTGGTATATTTCTTGTTTGAAGAGCTACAAGGTCGGTTAAATAAAAAAAAAGTTGAGTAATTACAACCCAAGTAGCATTATAGTGACGAAAACTGATATCGCAACTTCAAATGAGTGGCAATTACGTTAAAATAACTAAATCTACCACGATACAGTTAAAATATCTATTATATCTATTATATTAGCATAGTTTTAGAACTTTTTGGTGTATCAGTCTGGTATCTAAAATGTTATGACCACTTTTGATACCACCTTAAAGTTGTCTAAACTTTAAGTGCATTATAAATAGTAACGGCAACCAAACCACATCACTTAAGTATTACTTTGAAATGGTAGTAGTAGTATACCAGTTTTTGTAAAGTTTTCGGAACTTTTCCCAAACCTTGAATGTGACAGAACTTGATTATATAATTGCGGTGGTCATTCTTGCTACATGCTTAAGTGATTTCCACGTTTCGCATACTCTCTAAAAATGAATTAGTCAAAAATTACTAATTTAATAGTATTTTATTTTATTATTTTTCACTTGTATCATGGTTAACCATGGAATAGCATGGTAAAAAAGTAGAACTGTTTTTGATATAATATATATATATATATTATAGTCAATTTTATATTTAATATGGAATTGACTTTCATAATTTTTGACCATACAATATTTTCGGATTCAGGGGACAATTTTACATAAGAATTGGCTGATAAAATTTGGAATACCATGGTATTCCATGGTTAACCATGGTAAAAGTAAAAAAGCAGCCACTAATAACTATTAAATTAGTCATTTTTGACTAATTCATTTTTAGAGAGTAGGATTACCACTTTAACGTTCACTTTTTCAAAAGCAGACATGTTTTTAAATGGTTGCCATTGTATACACATAAATGTGTTTTAAACAAATAATTCTGGTTTGTACCGCACCAAATTTAACAAGTTAATTACTGGTTTCAGGGGACCAGAAATATTAAAGAAATTTGTCCCCGAAAGTTAATTAAGTAAATAAGTATGAAATAGTCACTTAAATGTTATTTTATTTAATTCATAAATGGTATACCATAATATATATAAATATATAATAAATATATTTAATTAATCAAATAGATTGTACATATTAGATGTTTACCAATTAGCGCGATCAAACTTTAGTCAAAGTCAAAAAATGACTTTTGTTTTATAAAACTATTTAAATAAAAAATAAATAGGTTTATAAAACAAAAGTCATTTTTTGACTTTGACTAAAGTTTGATCGCGCTAATTGGTAAACATCTAATATGTACAATCTATTTGATTAATTAAATATATTTATTGTCCAGTAGAGAATATTAAGAAAAATTGTCCACAAGTTTAATCCTGCAAAGTAGGTAGCGGTAAAGCTCTTTAACACCAATAACTCATAGTTTCTGATGCGGACAGTAAGTAATTTCTAATATTGCAGACTAAGTCACTAGACCGCAGCACGTAATTTATTGCTTGATGTTATTGTTGCCGATGAATATTGCAGAAGCTTTGGTCAGCTAGAGATAATTTACCAGCAATTAAACAACGTGTTTAACAACAAATTAAACAGGTTCATTTGTGTGTGAAATTGGTCATTAGCGCCAAACAATGGCCCAAATTGCGGCAAATAGTGTTTTAAAAATTAATTAATGAAAAAAACACAACCAGTTTGAAATTTTTCCTGCAAATTATATGGTCTAGAATTATACAAACAATTTTTTGTAAATACCTTTAATTTAATTTATTCGAATATGCTATTTACACAATTTAAGTACTTTTAAATTAAACTACATTTGAGGCCCCTAGAAGCCAAGGGTGCAAGTACACTTTGTTTAGTTTTAAGATAATAATGTTCAAAGTTAAAACCCCTTTGTGATTTAGAGTCAAAAGTGTTTGTTGTTATGACTTTCTTTTTCAAGCTTAAAAGCTTGTTATATCCCTTTGTGGTAACAAGTTTAATCAATAATTCTATGGATTGTTAGCACATTTTGGTATTTGCAGACCAAATTTGAACCATACAAAATTTACGTATTTACCTTGTTAATAGTATATTGTTTAACGATTGAAAAAGAGTTGAACACTATGCTTTTTAATTTTATTTAAGAATTAACTACAACGTTTTGTTATTAACATAAACACAGATTCGATGACAAATGTTAGTATCAATAGTCATAGTAACGGAAAATATTACCGTTGAGAAAACTAAAATCTTGTCGTCTCATTGGACAAAAACCGTGGAGAAAGAGATCAATTTTTCTCACAGTTTAAGAATGAGTCTTTCTCAATTGAACACCTATTGGAAATGTACAAATTCTTTAATTTGATTAGAAAAAATATACTACTATGAAACTGTTATAATAATACATATTATATGTACCTTTATACTGTGTGTTCCCGGATGGGGTTGCCAATAGGAATAACTTTTTTATTAGTTTTACAGAAAAAAATTTTTCTTCATAAAAACTCCTGCTTATATAAAAGTTCTAAATCAAATGTACAGTGTGCTCAGAAATTGGAAAAACATGAAAATTTTTCAGGATGAAAGTGCCTTTATTAAATATGTTATTGAACAATTTTATAATTAAGCTTGGGTCTAATTTTTTTTATTTAAACATTTTATTTTATTCTCATAAAAAAATGTATATAATAAAGGACGAAAAAAAAATCAAATTAAAATATACTTAAACTATAGTCTATATTATTTTATATATACTATGTATACTCTAAAAAATTATCGCTAGTAGTTCCACCACGTGGCCGTTATCATCGTAACAAAACTACAACTTTTAATAATCAGCTGTGATACAAAATTAAGGTTTGCGAAAGGGAATGGAATAAAACCAAAAGCAAATGAAAGTTAATAGTTTCCACAAGAAAACCCTATCAGGGTTTTTTATATCACGTCTCAGTTATTTTTTGTACGCATTTAAAGATGGTAAATTTTTTGACACCCCATAGTGGGAAAAAATTAAGTAAAACTATGTTAATTTTTACAAAATAATTTTGGCAATTTGATCGAGGAATTTATTTGTGATGTTAATTTTTACCAAAGACCCTCAGAGGAGGACGCTATGATACAATTTTTGTTAATTTTTACGTATTTTTATTGGTAAAATGGTATTTTTACCATTTTTGAAGGTGAGAAATCCATTTTTGTCATCCGTTTGTTGTAAAATATACCCTAGGTGATATTACAAAGCAATTTTTAATATTTTTGATATATTAGTATAAAAAACTTGTTTTTTTTTTAAGAACTTCTTAAACTAAACATTATTAAATTCGTTATTTTATTTATATTTGTAAACTATCACTGCTGTAACCGGCAGTAACACTAGTTGAAATACCAGAAGTTCCAGCTACTGGATCTACATCCATTGCTTCATCTTGTTCTGGTAATTCATTATCACTTTTTTCTTCATCGGTGGTTCGTTTTAACCACCAACATAAATCAGCTAGCATAGCGTCGAGATGTTT